CGAATCCGTCCACATCTAGTGAGGAGCGGGGCCGACAGCAGCTCCACTACTCAGCCGAGAATCCGACATTCGATTCTCTCGGTCACTCGCCCATAGCTGTTAGCCTAACAGCAAGCACTGTTAGCCGTAGCACACATCATCGAACGACCGCTGGGCACAAACTGTTGACCCGTCTAAGTCAGTGCCTTCGAAAAGGATCCTGCCCCGCGGAGCATAGTAGCAGTAGGAGCAGTGAGAGTAGCAAGGAGAAATCCACAACGCATCATCAGTCCGAGAAATCCATGGCACCGCATTTTACCGCAATTTCCTCATCCTCCTCCACCGCCTCTTCATCATCATCATCAGCTAAACCTTCCACGGCCACTACCGAAGCCGTGACCAGTTCTCCAAGTGTCAATGCACTGGATAAAAGCTCAAAACGGGCAGTAACAGGAACCACTGGTACCTCTGTATGCCTACGAAAAAAGCGTGAACAGCAACGACACAAGCACTCTCAGTTTACCGCCGCAGTGACCAGCCCCGGAACAACAGGGACCAGTGAATCGTCAGCATCATTTCGAGAAACCGATCGCGATTCGATCAGCTCGGCAAGCTCATTGGAAATTCTAGTGCAGTAGTTCCCGCTAGAGCTACTCCTATCGTTTCCATTCCACTCCAATATCATTTGTTTGATAAATACTGAAAATGATAGTTCGTGTGGGAAATCGAAAATCCTTTCATATTTAACCTGTCAAAGAGGCGAAGGCGCTCGAAAGTAGCCCGAATAGTAGCAAGCATCGGCAGCAATCATCAGTGGCAAGCCTTTCGATGATTCCCCTCTTTCTAGATTGCTTAGAAGCAAGCTGATAGCGGTTTTGACTCCCTGGCATATTCCTGTACCAATTTACCACAGAAACGAATGAACGAATCGTGGCGGAATTGGTTATCTCCTTGGCGGAATCGAAATTGGTGCTGAGGAACTACTATAAACGCTCTTTGCAATCCTAAGGGGAGGCGCTGACAATCTTACCAGTGGGTAATTGGTACTTGCCATCTCTTGGACTACTTCCGACTGTCTCCATCTTTCAAAGAGAGTGAATTACGGAGGTTTTGACTTCTGATACTTAGTGGATCCCTTATTAAACAGGTTGGGTCAAATCAGTAGTTCAACTTTGCCAGCGGAAAACCTTTGTTTTGTTTAATCATTTTGATAATAGATTGTAAATCCAAATTGTCGTTATTTCTAGTAATTTTTAGAACAGGGTGATTATCAAGAGTTTTGCCCGCGTACAGTCATTTCTGGCCCTTCGAGCTACTTTCGGGTCTTTGCTCTCGTACACAGAAAAAAATGAGGAAAGTAAAGAGAGCTAAAATCTACACGTAAGTGTGTCTATGTTAAAAGTAGTAGTTCCTTTTGAGCCAGAAAATCCACAGTCGCCTGATCTGTAGCCTCAAGCCTTACATTCTTGCGGAAACACTCTGTAAGGCGTTTTCTTGTTGCTGCAAACTATTCAACATCTATTATTTTTATGCAGAAAAATTGCAAGTGTTCGATGTATCATGATTATGCAAATATGTTTTTCGTTCTGTAGCACTTGCACAGCCTACTACTACTCATTCATTCTTACTCTGAACTCACTAGGATTGCCGGAACTGTTGGGTGTGGAAACTCCTGATGTTGCAGTCATGTCGTTTCTGGATGACTAAAGAGGTCCCTTGTTCTAGCCTGTTGTGTTTACAGCTAACGGATAAAACACAAATTGCTCTCCAATATGTCCATCGGTACATTTGGTATTTTAAATCTATTATCTTTGGCTTTTTTTAATATTTCAGAATATTTATGCAAACACTCTGCCTTGATCTCGCAAATAAATACTTTTCAATTTTTCAACTCCCATAAAATATTTTACATTAAAAATCAGTTTCTTATTGTGCGAGAAAATCCACAGTATCTTGAATTAGGACGAAAAAACGAATTTCTTGATTGCAGTCATCCCATGAAAACACTTATGCTAGAGCAAGAAAGGTCTTTGTTACTCGAATTTGCAATGCCTTCATTGTGTTTGCTGTATGATTGCGTCTTTGGTGCGAACTTCATTTTTCATCTTAAAAATGACATATGGATAATGAAGTCGAGTCTGAAATTTGACTTGAAATCTAGGTTCTTTGTCGAAAATCTCAACACATTCATTAATTTCAAATTTGGCTGAAGTGACGCAAAAGTTCGGGGAAGGAAGAACAAGGGAGAGGTAAGCCAAATGGTCTAAAAATCCAAAAACGAGGGCAAGATCAGGCCAAACTAACTCAGTAATCCAAAAAAATTATGCAAATTTCAGTCAAAATGGCTCGAAAAAACGCGAAAAGACGAAACATTTTACTAGAGGCAAAAACGTTTGAAAAAAGCCCTAGTGGTAGCACAGTGATAACAGAATTTTTTCCTGCTACTCGGAATTTTCGGTATGGAATTAAGTACCGCAGGCTCACTTAGACAGTCCAATGGTACCAAATTATCAAATGCGGTAAAACTCAGTTTCATTCAGTAAGCTTGCCGCTAACATTCCAACAGCAGTTTGTTATTTGTTCAGCGTATATGTCTTATGAATGCAATATTCAAAATCGACCGAATGCTGTGTTATAGCGTTCCACATTGTCTTTTTTGTTCCTGTAGTATAATTTGTGAAACATAGTGGCATACCCTACAGAAGAGGGTGTTCCAGAGAAGTGAACTGCCTCCACTCCACCGGAAAATACCAGCATCTAGATCTCCGGAGAAGAGGTCGGGGGAGGGG